AACCTACAGAATGGCAGAAGATATTCGCAAACTATCTGACAAAGGACTTATATCCAGAATCTACAAAGAATTCAAACAAATAAGCAAGGAAAAAAGCAAATAACCCCATTAAAAAGTGAGCAAATGACATGAACAGACATCTCTCAAAAGATATACAAATAGCTAACAAACATATGAAAAAATGCTCAACATCACTAATTGTTGGGAAATGTAAATCAAAACTACAATGAGATACCACTGTACACTAGTCAGAATGGCCATTATTAAAAAGTCAAAAAACAACATGATGGCACAGATGTGGAGAAAATGGAACACTTATACACTGTAGGTGGAAGTGCAAATTAGAACAATCACTATAGAAAGTGGTGCTGAGACTTCTCAAACAACGAAAAGTAAATCTGGCCATTTGATCCAGCAATCCCACCAGTAGGTATCTACCCAAAGGAACAGAGGTTGTTAGATAAAAAAGACATCTGCATTCACATGTTCATAACAGCACAATTCACAATTGCAGAGAATCAACCTAAATGCCAATCAACTGATCAATGAATAATGAAAATGTGGTATAGATACTATGGAATACTCTTCAGCTATCAAAAAGAATGAAATAATATCTTTTGCAGCAACTTGGATGGAATTGGAGAACATATCCTAAGTGAACTAACTCAGGAACAGAAAACCAAATACCACATGTTCCTCCTCATAAGTTAAAGCTAAACTAAGGATGTGCAAAGGCATAGAGAATGGTATAATGGACAGTGGGGAAGGAATGGAGGGATGAAAAATTACCACAATGTACACAGGTGGTGGTTGTAGGTACACTTAAAGCCCAGACTTCTTCACCACTCTACAATGCAACCAATATAACCAAACACTATTTGTATCCCCATAGCTATTGACATAAAAAAAAATATATAAAGCTGCAAAAAAATAATAGCAACATAGTAAGACCCCCATCTCTACAAAAAGTAAAAAAATGGCCAAGCGTGGTGGCGCACTCCTGTAGTTCTAGCTACTTGGGAGGCTGAGGCAGAAGGACCACCTGGGTCAGTAGGTTGAGGCTGTGGTGAGCCATGATCGTGCACCACTGCACTCCATCCAGCCTAGGAAACAGAGTGAAGTCCCAATTAAAAAATAAATAATTAAAAATAAAAGAGATTTCCAGATAAACAAAACCTAAGGGAGCTTGTCATCAGAAGACCTGCCCAGAAGTGCTAAGGGAAGTTATTCAGATCAAAATAAAAGAACACTAGAGAGTAACTTGGAAGGAAGCTAGCTATTTTGGTAACTGTTTTCCTTTCTGATTTCAAACATGTTTATTGCATAAAACAATATTTATAATCTATGCAAATGAGCATTTGGTGTATAAAGACATTTGTGACAATGTAATGGGGGACATAGTTATATAAAAGCAGAGTTTTTGTAGCCTTTTGAAGATAAGCTATACTGATAAGTTGGTATCAATTCAACAAGATTGTTATAAACTTAGGATGTAAGTTATAATCACCAGGGTAACCGCCAAGAAAATAAGTCAAACCTGCACATTGATGTTTATAGCAGCTTTATTCTTAATTGCCAAAACCAGGAAGCAAACAAGATGTCCTTCACTGTGAATGAATGAGTAAACTAGTACATCCAGGAAACAGCATATTACTCACAGAATGAGCTATAAATAAAAAGACATGGAGCAAACCTGAATGCATATTACTAAGTGAAAGAAACTTATCTGAAAAGGCTACATCCTGTAAGATTTCAGCTATACAACATTCTGGAAAAAGCAAAACGACAGAGAGAACAGTTGCTATGGGCCAAACGGTTAGGGCAAGAAAGAGATGAATATGCAGAGCACAGAAGATTTTTAGGGCAGTGAAACGATTTTGCATGACATTACAGTGGTGAGACATGTCATTATACATCTGTCAAAACCTATAGAATGTACACCATGAGTAAACCCTAATGTAAACTGTTGACTTGGAGGGATAATTAGGTGTCAATGTAGGTTCATTATTTATAAAAAATGTACAACTGAAGCAAAATGTTGACAGTTGAGGAAGCTGTGTACATGTGGAGACATGGGTTTCTGAGGACTCTGTTTTCTGCTCAATTTTGCTGTGGACCTAAAACTGCTCTAAAAAATAGTTTATTAATTGAAAAAAAAATATTTATACAGAAAAGGAAACGAGAAGCAAATTAAAAAAGTAGAGTAGAAAAATTCCATCTAACAGAAAAGGTAGTATTATCAGAAGAAAAACGATAAAGAGCTGTGAAAAACAAATAGCAGAACAACAGAAGTCCTTTTGTTGCATAATAAATAAATTGGCAAGTTTTTGTCCTTGGTTTCTGGGAAGGAGCCTCTACATTCTTAGACTTTCCCCCAGTGACAGTCGTGTCTTTGTTATTCACGGTAGACACTTCAGGCCATACCTGAGTTCACATTAGCAAGGAGACTCATCATGGCCCTGTTTCAGGATTAGGGCTGGCCATGCCAGAAAGACTAATCATGTCATTAAATGGTAGAACTTTGAGCCACATGCTATCAGCCTGATCTCCTGACCTCCAGAGAGAGGCCCAAGGCTAGAGACTGAATTCAATCATGTGGCCAATGATCCATTCAATCAAACCTATGTAACAGAGCCCCAATAAATATTGGACACCCAAAGCTCAAGTGAATTTCATGGCTGGTGAAAGACACTGATGCGTCAGAATGACGATATATCCTAAGGACACATAAGCTTTTTGTTTGGGACCCTCCCAGATCTCACCCTATGTTTCTTTTCTTTTGTTTGGTCCTAATTTGTGTCCTATAAAGTGGTCATCCTAAGTATAGTGCTTTCCTGAGTTCTAGGAATTGTTCTAGCAAATTACTGACACTGAGGTAGTAGTAGGAATCCTGAAATTTGTCGTTAGTTGGTCAGAATTGCAGGTCAGAAGGTAGCCACGAAACCCCTAAGTTTGCAACTTGTATATAAAATGAGGGCAGTCTTGTGGGGGACTGTGTCATAAACCTATGAATTTTGACCTAACTTCTAATAGTTAGCATGAGAATTGTACTATATCTTACTAGTAATTAACTTAAATGTTTCTTTCTTTTATTTTTGTGAGGCAGGGTCTCACTGTGTTACCCAGGATGGAGTGCAGTGATACAAACATAGCTCACTGCAGCCTCTAACTCCTGAGCTCATGCAATCCTCCCGCCTCAGTCTTCCTGAGTAGCTAGGACTACAGGCATGCACCATCATGCTCAACTAAATACCTTAAATGTAAATGAATGAAAGTTTTAAATTGAAAGGCAGAGCCTGCCAGAATAAAAAAAGTTCCAATAGCATATTATCTAAAACAGACTCATATTAGATCCATATAAACTGAAAGTAAAAAGACTAAAAAAGACATTTAATGAAAATAGTAACCAAAAGAGAGCAGGGGTAGCTGTCCCAATATCGGGCAAAATAGACTTTAAATAAAAACTTGTTAAAGGAGACAAAGAAGAGCATTATTTATTGGGAGAAGAGTCATTCCATCAAGAAGATTTAACAATTATAAACATACACAAACTTAACAAGAGTCCACAAATATATGAAACAAAAATCTACTTAATTGGAGGAAGAAATATAGACCACAAAAATAAATGAAGACATAACTTTAAGTAATGGACCTATTAGAATAGCTATTTTTTTGAAAAAGGAAAAATAACAGGTGTCGGTGAGGATTTTGAGAAACGGGAACCTATATCATACATTGGTGTTAGAAATATAAAATGAGCTAGGCTCGGTGGCTCAGCCTGTAATCCCGCGCCTTTGGGAGGCTGAGGTGAGTGGATTGCCTGAGCCCGCGGGTTCGAGACCCGCCTTGGGCAGGCGAGACCTCATCTCTACAATAAATCACAAAATTAGCCGGGCGTGGTAGCACACGCCTGTAATTCCGGCTACTCAGAAGGCTGAGGCGGAAGTATCGCTGGAGCCCAGCAGGTCAAGGCTGCGGTGACCGGGAGCGGCCACTGCACTCCAGTCTGGGCGACAGAGTGAGACTCCAACTCAAAAATAAATAAATAAATAAATAAATCAAAAGAAATATAAAATGATGCAAATATTGTGAAAAATTGTTTGACAGTTCCTTAGAAATTTAGACAAGGTTACCATATGACCCAGCAGCTATACTCCTGGGAAAATAATTCCCAAATTGAAAACTGATGTTTAAACAAAAACCGGCACCAAATGTTCATGGCAGCATTATTCACAATACTCAAAAGGTGAAAAGAAATCAAATGTTCTAACAAATGGATAAACGAAATGTATACAGGTTGAGCATCCCACATGTGAAAAGCTTGGGACCTTAAGTGTGTCAGATTTCAGATTTTGGAATATTTGCATTACACTTACTGGTTAAGCATACCTACTCTGGAAATTCCAAATCCAAAATGCTCCAATGAGAATTTATTTTGAGCATGACATTTGAGTATCATGCTGACATTCAAAAAGTTTCAAATTTTGGAGCACTTCGAATTTTGGAATATACCCATACAGTGGAATAGTATTCAGTCATAAAAGGAAATGAAGTACTGATGTAGGCTATCACATGAATGCACCTGAAAACAGTAAGCTAAGTAGAAGAAGCCAGTCACAAAATAACATAATTAATATAATTTCATTTACATGAAATAGTGACAATATACAAAGCCATAGAGACAGAAAACCAATGAGTGGTTTCCAGGGGCTGAAGAAAAGAGGGAAAGGGAGTGACTGCTTAATGGGTACTGGTTTCCTTTTGGGGTGATGAGAATGCTCTGAAATGAAATAGTGGTGATGGCTGCACAATACTGTGACCAAACTAAATGCTTTTGAGTTATATATACAAGTTAAATGACTAAAGCAATAAATTTTTTGCTATGTGCATCCTACCATAATTTTGAAAAAAATCTATGCATACTTTTTTCTTTCAGTTATTAAACCAGATTCAGATACAGATAAAAATGCACAAAAAATTAAGAGATCTGTGCTACATACCTGTTAATGCTGCTGGTTTAGAAAGTGTACTATATTGGTTTTGTGTAGATATCATACTTTGACGTGGACTTAGTGTTGGTGATGCAACAAGTGAAAGCTCCTCAATAATAATACTGCTTTTGGGATGATTCTTGGGAAGTTCATTTAGTCTTTGCTCTAATGAATACTTTAAAAGGTCCAACTTCTGACTTGATTCATTAAATCTTGCTTGAGCCTTACATGGGGAAAAGACAATTGTCATTTAAGCAATCACATACATTGAATAATGTATTTATTAAAACAAATTAGACTTTTTATTTAAAATTACTTCTGAAAGTGCTTTTCTGTCTGTTACTTTTCCTGAGCCAAGTAATTTCATTACATTCTTTGCACCTTCTGCTACTGCAAACTCTATCCTAAAATGATGCCTCAATTCTTCCATCCGAAGTTCGAGAGGACTTATCACAGGTTTTGCTAGAAGGAGGAAAAACAAAAACAAAAACTTAATTGAGCCATTTATTTGACTTTCTAATTTGTGTTAATTAAAAATCATGAAAAGAAATGAATTCCTATTACATTAAAAGAAGTTAGTTCTTAAATCAATAAACACGGAAGTAATGATAAATGCTATGTTGAAATTCAGAACTTTTCATTTTGGTCATTATACAACTAAACTACAAAACTGAAAAAGGATTCCAGAACTGAAGATACTCATATATTGTAATACGACAACACTGAAACAGTTTCTAGTCATGCTGTTAGCAACTGGATATAAAGATTTTCTCTGGAATTAAAAAAAAAAAAAAGAAAGAAAGAAAGCACAAAAGAAAACAAAGTCACAATCTTCTTGAGATACAAGGGAAAAATATACAAAAGAATCTATCCATGTGAAGAGTGTAAAATTCAAAATAAAGAAAATAATGCTTCCTGCCCCTTAACTTTGATCCACCTTGTTCCTACATAAGATTTATTTGTATCACTATATGCTCATAATAAGAAGAATAATAGTTTATCTCTGTTCCATCACCATTATCAAAAGCCAATTCATTGGTCTGGACTGCTTGAAGAATCTGCATTCGTATGACTTCTATTTTTGTCTTGCTGTCCTGAAGCAGCTGCTGAGCTGTACCATGGAGTTTCCGATCCTATTAAAAGTAAATTTGAAAAAGTAAGCAAATAAAGGGACAAAGGAAACATTTCCATATCTTTTAAATAGATCAATTGATTTATCAGCAAGTGAAAAACAGTTTAAAAAAATAAACACTGTGAGCACTACAATCTTATAGACATAGTCACAAAAAAGAGCCAACAAACTTATTGAGTGATAACTGGGAAAAACAACTCCATCAGTAAAGTCAATTTGGATAAAGCAAGGAAATCTTATTGTTTCATTAATTTATTTTTTACCGTATAATTAATTGTACATATCTGAGATGTGCAACTTGATATATGTATACATAGAGAGATGATCACCGTCAAGCAAATGTGCTGACCCATCACTGTCTGTAGTTGCCCTTTTATATGTGTGCTAAGCACACCTAAAATCTACTCTCAGCACATCTTCAGTGTATATTATTAACTACAGTCCTCATGCTGAACGTGAGACCTCTGGACTTACTTATCCTATCTAACTGCAAATATTACCCTTTGACTTACTTTTCCCCATTTCTTCTCCCTCTCTAATGCTGGTAAGCACTATTTTACTATTTCTATGTATTCAAACTTTTTAAAAAAACAAAACTCCATATATACGTGAGATTATACAGTATTTTTTTTTTTGTGCCTCACTTATTTCACTTAGTATAATGTCCTTTGAGTTCATCTGTGTTGTCATAAATGGCACTATCTCCTTTTCTGAGGTGAAATATTTCACTGTATATATGTGTACACACACACATACACATCTACCACACACACTACCCATATCCATTTATCTGCCAATAGACACTATAGGTTGTTTGAATTGTATTACGGGTTTTAAGAAAAATTCAAATTCATATTTGTAATTTTCTTGTCTTTGCTTTACACAAAATATAAGGAATTTTCCTTCAGTAGGATCAATAACTCTCAGACTCAAAAACACAGTATGAGATGGATGGTTCCATGATTAAGCCTAGAACACTTAGATGAACTCGTCCTCTTCCTTGCCACTTCAGTTTAACTTTCAGGGGGCTTCACATATGCAGGCAAATGCAAAAAATAGCCAGTCATAGTTTTTGTGTGAATATCAAAAAATGAGACCTTCTCAATCAAGCTGGGGAGAAAGTTACTGAATAAACTTCTATCATCTCTTAAGACTTTAAGAAAGAATTTTGAATTAGGTGAACTAACGTTAACACTGTACCTCTGTTTAGTTCTAGTAACACTGAATGAGTGACAGAAGGAATCGTAGTAGGCCAAATAATGGCTCACTCAAAGATGTCCATGTCCAAAGCCCCAGAATCTTTTTTTTCTGAGTTGGAGTCTCACTCTGTCTCCCAGACTGGAGTGCAGTGGCACACTCCCAGCCACTGCAGCCTCGACCTGCTGGGTTCCAGCAATCCTTCCGCCTCAGCCTTCCAAGTAGCTGGAACTACAGGCATGCGCTACCTGCCTGGCTAATTTTTTATTTACTGTAGAGATGAGATCTCACCAAGTTCCCTGGGCTGGTCTCGAACCCTCAGGTTCAAGCAATCCACTTGCCTCAGCCTCCCAAAGTGCTGGGATTACAGGCTGAGGGACTGAGCCCAGCCTGTGACGTCTTAAGCCACTAAATTTATAGCATCTCTGCTTTTATCATTAAGGCAATTAGTACTAATTTGGACATTAAATAAATTAAATTCTCCAGGAGACTCATGTCTCTTAGAACCTAAAAGACAAGCATCAAGTCAGGCAGTGGTAGGAGAGTAACTCTGCTATTATGTAAGAGGAATAAAAGTGAGCTGAAATATATTCCACTGAACTCAGGTTAATATACTAAGGAGGAAAAAACAATTAGCAAATTTATGAAATTTGTGAATTTTTCTCATTTCTTTCATGTTCCCAAAGTCAGCTATTTAGAAAAGGGCTTCTAGCCAGATTTTGTTTTTTAATAAATATTGTGTATTTAGATTTAACACCAAAAGGCAAGACTCAAGTAGTTTAAGTAGTCTCATAGATATCCATTTGTACCATAAAGTAGACAAAAACACACACACTTGCTAACTATAGTTTACCAGTAAGGATACTAGCTTGCATTTCACTAGCTTGAATTTGGTATCTGTCTATAACATATTATAGATGCTTTTATGAATGCATCTATTCATCTTCCAAATTTAAAATGGAAATACTTTTCTTCTACTGTAATTCCTCTTCTTTTTTTTTTTTGTTAGTTGGAGTCTCACTCTGTCACCCAGACTGGAGTGCAGTGGCCGCTCCCGGTCACTGCAACCTCGACCTGCTGGGCTCCGGCAATCCTTCCGCCTCGGCCTTCCACGTAGCTGCAACTACAGGTGCGCGCTCCCATGCCCAGCTAATTTTTTGATTTATTGTAGAGATGAGGTCTCGCCTGCCCAGGCGGGTCTCAAACCCGCGGGCTCAGGCAATCCACTCACCTCAGCCTCCCAAAGGCGCAGGATTACAAGCTGAGCCACCGAGCCTGGCTGTAATTCCTCTTCTTAACTAGTATTAGGAAAACAGACAAACTGAAGATTAGAAATAACTATAGTCAGCCGGGTGCAATGGCTCACACCTGTAACCCCCAGCACTTTGGGAGGTTGGAGGAGAGAGGACTGCCTGAGCCCACAGGTTCGAGATCATCCTGGACAACATGGCAATAATTCATCTCTAAATAAATTAAAAAAAAATTAGCCATGGGGGGTGGTGTATGCCTGTAGTTCTAGCTACTTGGAAGGGTGAAGTGGAAGGATCGCCTGGAGCCCAGCAGGTCGAGGCTGTAGTGGCCATGAGCGTGCCACAGTACTCCAGCTGAGCAACAGAATGAGACTGACTCCAAAAAAAAAAAAAAAAAAAAAAGAAAAGAAAAGAAAAAAGAAAAAGAAAACTATAGGAAAAAAACCTATAGTTGTGCTGCATAACTACATTTCGGTCAATGATGGAGCACATATATGACAGCAGTCAGTCCCATAAGATTATAGTACTGTATTTTTACTGTACCTTTTCTATGTTTAGATATGTTTACATACACAAATAGTATTGTGTGACAATTGCCTGCAGTATTCAGTATAGTAACATGCTGTTACTCTAGCCTAAGAGCAATAGGCTATACCATTTAGCCTAGGTGTGTAGTATGCTATACCATCTAGGCTCATGTAAGTACACTCTGTAATATTTGCACAATGAAAAAACTGCCTAATGACACATAACTATTTCTTTGAGATCAGATCAGAGCAAGAAAAAAACTTAGTATTCCAAAGCTCATAATTTAATGGGACAAATGTATTTTGCAATCAGACAGACTTGAACCCAAGACTTATTATATGTAAAATTGGGCAAGTTATTTACCTTCTGAAAGTTTTAGGTTTCTTGCAGAAACTATACAAGTGAAGATATATAGAACTTTTTTAAGCACAAAACTAAAATTATATTGACTAGCACATGACTCACATGAAAACATTCTCTTTTAGAAAGCAATAAAAATAGTGATTAAATATCTTATTTCAATGAATGTAAAAGTATAAATATAAGTAAACTATATAAAATTATGCTTTTCAGTTAACTCCTTTTATTTTTTATTATTATGCAAAATGACTGATTCTGTCATTTAATTCTTTGGAAATGCTCCTTTCTTAAATATTTCAGTTCAATATGCAAGGAAGAGCTCTTGCATTTTATTTTACAAGTAAGTGAATTTTCCCACACTGATTTCTACAGGATCTGCACAAAGGTGCCAAAGTGTGATGAAGTCTTTTGAGACTGACTTTGGGGCCACCACCTCAGGTTACCTCCCACTGGGGGAGCTTTTCTGTCCTCTCAATAAATCCTGCTTTCAAAAAACAAAAACAAAAAAATTGATTTTGGATACTATCTGTCACAGCAATATATGGTTTTTATATAACAATTTTATGCTTTCCAGAATTCAATGGATTTTTAAAATAAGTACCTAATATGCACAAAGCAAGAGACAAGGTGGGTTATACTGAATGGTTGCATATAGGTCAACTAATGAATATTACAGAAAAATACTCACTTTTATGTTGATGAAAATGTTGGGGAAATTTTTATATATTACTAGATTGAACCACGTGAAAATGCTAATATCTGATTGATTTTAAACTAAAAAACAGCAATTTCATGTGGTTCAAACTAATAGGCTAACTAACTAGCTCTCTACAATATCCGATAATTTGGAGTATATAATATTTTATAACTATAGCTAATAATAACTATAAATTTTATAATATTTTCAAATTACATACTATTTTTTATTTTACAAAAAATAAGTGTTTTGTAAGTTATAGTAGGATATTATAACCAATAAACTATATCACATAGACAACTCAGAAATAAATAAGATTTTATGTTTTTCATCACATATTTATGGCTTACTTCCCATATGTTAAATATTGTCAGACCTAGTGAAAATACAAAGATCAATCAAAAGGCTACCTTATGAAGCTTATATTTTGACAGAAAAGATACAGATAATTATGTGCATTACAAAATTAAAAGCAGTCAAAGAAAATTTCAAAGAAAGGTGGAATTAATTTTAGCTGAGGGAATCCAGAAAGGTTTTCTGAGTCATTAATATAGACAACTTTGGAATGTGTCAAGATTGGAGAATTTCTCATGTTATGAGTTCTTATAACAACAAAACCCCAAAACAAACAACAAAACACCCATAAAAGAACATAAGGTAATTTTTGGAAGTATCTTGATTGTGACGATGGTATCACTGGTATCTATATAAGCCCAAATTTATCAAAATGTATACACTAAATATATGTAATTTTTTTCTATATAAATTAGATCTAGATAAAGGTTAATCAAACAAACAAGTTTGGAGGATTGGGGACTGGAGGAACCTGAATGGGTAGTCTGACAGGCAGCTCAAGCACTTTCAAAATAAGATGAAACATGCTGGAAAAACCACAAATTTTAATAAACAGCATAGTTTGTTTTACCTGAATATATGAACAGGAACCATCTCTTCAACATGCCTTAGGAAACCCTTACAGATTATTCTATAAGAATCAGTGGTGCTGCTTAGAGTCACACTGCCCAATGAAGAAACGCCAAGCTCTACTACTCCTTAGGTAGCAGGGTAAGAGAACTGCATCCTACTCCTCAGATCTTTATAATGACAATAAGTAACATCTTAGGCATAAAAGGGATAATATGATAGTAGCTATAGTACGTACAAGTATGACATAAGAAAAAGGACAATGTGCAAATTATGGGCCAAAGGAAGATAATGAGCAATGAACGGGCAATGAAGCAATATCCGTTCTCTGAACAAACACTGAGTGTTTGTGGAAAAGTATTTCAATGTAGTAGGTACTGCTCTAGGCAATGAAGATACAGTGATAACTAGTACAGTGTCTCTGCCTGCATGAAATTTACATTGTAACACTGAAAACACTTAAGGAAATTAATTAAATCACATAAACTGTAATTTAAGATAATGGTAATGCAGTAAAGAATAAGAGGAGACAAGGGTTGCTATCTTACTTAGGATAGTAGTGAAGATCTTGCTGAGGTCTTAGCACCTCAATGGAGAACTTAGTGAATGAGAAAGCCATGAAAATACTTGGGAGAAGAGATACAGAGGAAAAGATATATATCAAGTGCAATGGCCCTGGGGTAAGAGTGTGTTGGCTATGTTCAAGGGATAGCAAAGAAGCTAGTGTAGCTAGAATGTAATGAGAGAGGAAGATGTTTTAAAAGAGGTCAAAAGGCATCCAGGTGTAAATCATACATGGGCTGGCAGTCAGAGGACGAGCTTTGTATTTTATTCTAAGCATGATGAGAAGTCATTAAAGGGTTTTGAACAGGAGGGTGAAGATATCTTACTTAAAATTTAAAAGGACAACCCTACAGCATGCATAGGGCTTTAATTTTTATCATACAGAACCTGATAACCGGAGTTCTGTTGATCTTTGCCTACAGGCACACCGAATTAATCATCCCTGTCTCTAGATTTGCTCCCCCTCATGAATTCCCTACCACTGTGAAGGGCATCACCACTCATTAGTCTGTCCACTTAACCAATCTAAGAATCATCTTTGGCTCCGCCATCTTCCTCATATCCAGATACCAACAGACTGACTGTCTTCACTGCTTTCACTGCTGTTACAAAAGACATGAAAATGTTTAATCTGGACTATACAAAAGCCACTTAAAGTTGCTTGTAGATTTGACCTTCTCTATTTAATTCCTTGAGTCTGAGAAGGATGGCTAAGAACTTTCTAAACTTGAAATCTGACCAAGTGTTTTCCCTGCTAAAATTCTTTCAGCAGCTCCATCTTATAAGATAGAATCCCAACTGCTTAATTAATTTTGTACAAAGTACTATATAACCTGGTTTGTCTTTCAGCTATACTACCCTTTTAACTATGCCTCACCCACTTAAAGCTCCACTGGTGGGGAAGGGAAGTCCTACTGAAATCATCTGGAAGACTTTTCTCAAACAAAATGTGTCCTTCAGGAGATTCAGATTTGTTGCCCTATAGCCTTTCACTGAAAATGACTGCTAGAGTTGACAACTGTTAGTATCATAAGCGCATTCTGGCTGGGCACAGTGGCTCACACCTGTAATCCCAGCATTTTGGGAGGCCAAGGTGGGAGGAGTGCTTCAGCCCAGGAGTTCAAAACCAGGTTGGGCAACACAGCCAGACTTTGTCTCCAACCCCCCACTCCCCCAAAGTCAGGCATAGTGGCAAGTGCCTGTAGTCCCAGAGTTACTCCGGAGGCTAAGGCAGAAGGATCGCCTGAACCCAGAAAGTTGAGACTGTGGTGAGCCATGATAGTGTCATTGCGCTCTAGTCTGGGTGATAGAGTGAGTCCTTGACTCAAGAAAAGAAAGAAAGAAAAAGTGCATTCTATTTATGTCAGGTAAGAAACATGCTGAGAACTTGTACTATTACAGCCATACCAAATCACTTCTATTTCTTTAGAATAAGCCAGGCTACTCTACAGTTCTATATTCTGTATATACTGGGTTTACCCATACTACCATCCCTAGGGAAGAATTCCTTTTTAAATTCAAAATCAACTTCCAGCTCTCATACTAAGACTCAAGTGATACCTTCTGGCAGTTAGATGATTCTTCTTCAGTGCGCTTCCAAAGTAAGTCAAACAAACTACTCATATACTGCAATTATTTACATGTAATATCTCCTTTCAAGAAAGTAGGTCTCTTAATAGCATGATATTATCTATTGAGTACCAACTATGTATAAGGCACCATCTTTATTAAATTTGTACCCCAGAGTCTAGCATAATGACTATCAAACTGTTATTTAAATCCTTAATGAATAAATAAATTAATATACTACATAATTTAAACTAGCAATTTTCCCTAATCTGATGAATACATACTGTGACTCTCTGAGAAATTTAAAGATGAGAAACAAAAACAGTTAAGATAGAATCTGGTCAGAAGAATCTGGCAAGCCTATCTCAGAGGCTGCTAATCGGCTTTGGACCTCCACTTGAGTCCTTCTCAAACTAATGAATCCCCTAATTAAAAATAAAAAGCCTTGTTCATTTTGGACTTGTGTTTATTTATCTGTTCATTTCACTTTTAGTGTATCTAGAGCCCTGTTCAATTTAGACCAGAGGTTCTTAATAATGCTTTGGAGATGACAGACAACGTTGAGAATACGGTGTAACCTACAGCCATTCATTCAATTATCAACACACACATTTGCTTTTCCTATAACTTCAAAGGATTCATAAATCCCTCAAACTAATTCATAAACCTCAGATTTAAAAAACCTTACTCCAGAGGGCAAAAGGTTACTTTAATTTTAAAATGCTCAGCATAATGTGGTGCATTCATAGTTCCAGGAACACACTATTTACTTAAAAAAAAAAGTTCAAAATAACATTTTATAAAAATAAAATAATCCCCCAAATTAAAGGTCAATACTAAAAATAATAGCACAGAAAATAACTCTATCATCCAATAATAAATGTTCAAAGTTAGTAAAGTAATATCCTATCAAGTATCACATCATAAGAAATATCAAATAGAAACAAATATATTCCTCTAAAAATAAAAAATTCATTTGAAATATGCCATAAAATATAACTAAATTTCAAAAATAACCTTAAAAAATCCCACATTTCTCTTTTTTCAGCATCTTCCCAAATTTCATCTGAGGTGGGTAGTAGATTTTTCCCCCATCATTTCAGAATTCTTTCAAAACTAGAAGAACAAAGTAATACCTAAAAACTTTAATTCTGAAATTATTTAATATCTATTAAAATATTAAAAAATTGATTTACAAAGATAAAAATCTTTAAAACGAGTTGAGAGTAGAAAGGTAGGTTTTATAACAAATATACCTCTATCAGAATTTTTGGATATCATTAAAACTACAGAATCTTAGATTGAAAAGATCCTTCAGGGTAATCTGGTTCAGCAGTTTCCAACATTTTCCTTCTACATTATACCTAAAAACAAGGACATGCTCCCATTGCTAACAACTGCTTCCCATTATTTTCGATTGGGGGTTATAGGCCTATAATTAGATCCCTAAGAATGTACAGGTCTAGGCCAAGGAATTATTGATGCTAGAATGACCTGTCTTTTCATTTGTCCTTTCAAAAAACCTGTATGTGGTAATGGAAAACTTATTACAGCCTAAATTTTAAAAAATAATTTTATTTTAGAATAACTTTAGATTTATCAAAAAGTTGCAAATATGAGGAGCTCCTATGTACCCTTTACTCATCCAGCCAAATTTTTTATCAACTAGATTTTGTTAGAAATAAACAATTTAAAAAATATTAGTTTAAAAAGTGATTTGGTTCTAAATTTTTTTGTTCATACTTTCAAAATTTTGAGGCCAAAATGATCTCAGATATCATAATGTAGCGCTTAAAGTGTGAAATTACCAACTAAAAGCACAAAAAATGGGAAAAACATGGCACTAAACAGATCTCAAAAAGGATACTTGCTTTACAGTGTGGAAGCTCAAGAAGGTCAAATGCCACCTTGTTTGACCTCAGCTAAAAACTTTGTGTGTTGGATGACTCAATAACCCCCAACCCTGTGAATGTACACAAATGACTACAGAAGTGCCACCAGTACTGATGTGGTAGTTACAAATACATTTTGGCAAGTAGGTGAATTTACAACTAGGGAATAAATAATGAGAACTGACTATGTAGGTACATATATCTACTGTATTTACCTTTGAAGATCCATTTGAATACATCTGTATCATGTTCTCTGCACCTTGTTTTACTTTAAGTTCTATATCCAATTGTTTTTGTAAAGCCATCAATCTATTGTTGCTTGTAGAACAACGAGGGTCACTATTTGGAGTATCTGGAGTTCTTGGGCAGTCTACAAATAAAAAATTATATTAAAATTACTTATGGGGACCAACTGCTGCTTAAAACTGGAAATTAGTATTTTCAACCCTGATAAAGAACAAGGTTTGAGATGAGATTGAAGTCATCTAAGTGGAATTTCCTTATGTTTATGGAGAATACAAGAATTCTACCCATTCAAGCAAAGGAAACAGCTGAATTTCAAAACCACTTGTCAGGATAGATTCCACGTCATGCAGAAGAGTCTTAAACTCAATTCAATGATTGTCCAACATTTTTCCAACACTACTATTTTTAAGTCAGATCAAATCAATTTGACAAGTCTATTCAAAAATTAAACTAAATTTTCTACCTATTACCTGACTAGTTATCGAGAGCAAAGCATATTCAAACACTATACAAATTCCATTATGATGAATATTTGTAAATACAACTAAGGCTACTTGAAATAAATTGCTAATACTAATTACTAAGTATAAGCATACAAATCTTCACATTTTGTCTTCCACTGTGAAGATATTTAATCACAATAGAAAATGCTTTGGCAGGGTTCAATGGCTCTGCCTGTAATCCTGCGCTTTGGGAGGCCGAGGTGAGTGGATTGCCTGAGCCCGCGGGTCGAGACCCGCCTGGGCAACTTGGTGAGACCTCATCTCTACAATCAATAAAAAAATTAGCTGGGTGTGGTAGCACGTGCTTGTAGTTCTGGCTACTTGGAAGGCTGAGGCAAAAGGATCACTGAAGTCCAGCAGGTCGACACTGGGGTGGCTGTGAGCGTACCACTGTACTCCAGCCTGAGCAACGACGTAGTGAGACTCCAACTCAGAAAAAAAGAAAATGCTTCAAGGATACTGACTGACTGATATAAAATTGATGGGGGGTGGGAGGTTGGAGGGAAACCAAAAATTCAAGTCCATGGCGTTTCATTCCTTATGATACAACTCAAAAAATACTATGCTGCTTCTATCTGTCTATGTATGTATGTATGTATGTACGTATGTATATATGTATGTATGTATGTATCTATCTATCTATCAATCTATTTATTTAGTTGGAGTCTCACTCTGTCGCCCAGACTAGAGTGCAGTGGCCGCTCCCGGTCACCGATCCTTCCGCCTCAGCCTTCCAAGTAGCTGGAACTACAGGCGCGCACTACCACGCCCGGCTAGTTTTTGCTTTATTGTAGAGATGAGGTCTCGCCAAGTTGCCCAGACGGGACTCGAACCCGCGGGCTCAGGCAATCCACTCACCTCGGCCTCCCAAAGTACAGGATTACAGGCTGAGCCACAGAGCCCGGCCGCTGCTTCTATGTATTTATTTTATTTTTATTTTTATTATTTTTTGAGTTGGAGTCTCATTCTGTCGCCCAGACTGGATTGCAGTGACCACTCCCGGCCACCGCAGCCTCGACCTGCTGGGCTCCGGCGATCCTTCCGCCTCAGCCTTCCAAGTAGCCGGAATTACAGGCGCACACTAACACGCCCGGCTGATTTTTTGATTTATTGTAGAGATGAGGTCTTGCTGCCCAGGCGGGTCTCGAACCCGCGGGCTCAGGCAATCCACATACCTCAGCCTCCCAAAGGCGCAGGATTACAGGCTGAGCCACCGAGCCCGGCTCGCTGCTTCTATTTAAAATCAAGAACAAAAACTTCAAAAAGGACCATCTAGTTATTCTAGGTAATCCATTATTATGAAAAGACTTCTAACAATTATACCATGTAACTAAAATTGTTCACATTAAAGTTCATTATTTTGTTTTTTATCCACAATAGCTCTTTTTACTTATTAAAAAAGCTAGAGGATTAGGGTGCTAGACGTGGTTCAGGTGATAAGTAGTTTGGTAATCACTGGAAAATGTTCTCTTCTCTGCAACATAAGATGGTGTGACTAACCAATTTTAATAAGTATGTCATTTTGGTTTTATATTCCCTTAAAAAATGTACTAGTTCAAAAACATTCAAGCATAATTTGCTCATTAATATAAAAATGCAGATACAACGCAAGACTGTAATGCAAAATAATAGTGCTTTATTAACATTTATATACAACCTTACTAGGTACAAGTCCTGATCTATGCTTTATAAACTCATTAATTCTCATAAACAAACTTATGAGTATTATACTCATATTACAGATAAGAAAAATAGGGTACAGAGAGGTTAAGAAATTTGCCTAAGATCATATAGCTTGTAAGTGGCAAAACCTGGATTTGAACCTAGTCAGTTTCATTCTGAAGTCTATCCTATCAATCACTGTGCTATGCTGTCTCTCTGACATTTAAAGGCCTTGTAATCAACTACACGAGACTCTGTGTATGTGTAGGCTTATATATGTAGCAGTATAATTATACATTCACATACAAACATATGCATGCACATTAATCCTTAAAAAAACCTATTAAGACAAATATTTGTTTTTGTGTGTGTGTGCTGGAGTCTCATTCTGTCACCCACTCCTAGCCACTGCAGCCTCGACCTGCTGGGCTCCGGGGATCCTTCCGCCTCAGCCTTCCAAGTAGCTGGAACTACAGGGACGTGCTACCACACCCGGTTAATTTTTGATTTGTTGTAGAGATGAGGTCTTGCCAAGTTGCCTAGGGGGGTCTCGAACCCACGGGCTCAGGCAATCCACTCACCTTGGCCCCCCAAAGCGCTGGGATTACAGGCTGAGCCACCGAGCCCGGACTTTTAAGACAAATATTATCCATATATTACATATCAAGAAATGGGCAAAGCACCAAAGGTATTAGCCAGAATTCAATTCAGGAACAGTTTCTGTACTGAATTCCCCAAATTACAAATGAACTGCTCCAAAAAATTGACATAAAATGTAGATAGATTTTAGATCAGCTCACAAGAGAACTTCTTAATACATGAGAATTGTGGTTAATACTGCCTAGGTTTGATTCTGGCCCTGAAATTCAGTCCAAGTCATGTAATACAGGTAAATTACTTAACAGCTCTGTGCCTCATTTTCCACATTTGTTAAATAGTAAAAACAGCATGTTTTCATTTTCACAGAATTATAGTGAAGATAAAATAAGTGATTTGTAAAGAGTTTAGAAATAGGTGTGGTACACAGAAAATATTCAATACATATTAACTAGCAGTAGTCACTGTAGGAAGTGTAAGTGCATCTTGGATGAGCCCATAAATGAATGCACATAGTAACAATCACTGAAGAGTTCAGATTTGGAAACATTTTTTTATCTTCCTTTCTTTTCATATAAATGATACAAGAATGTTGTAACAAATCTAAATTACACAGGACATGGTAAAGATAGTTTATAGTAAGTGTATTTTTAAAAGTAACTGAAATACATTCAGAATAGAAAGCCCCCAGGTGAGAAGAGTATAAAAATGTGTTGTTTGTAAAATAGTTGATGTTTAGCCTAGGATGAAAAGGAGAAATGATTCCTGTCTAAATATTTAAATATCTGCCTGTGAAAGGGGTCCACTAACTATCTCACCACAGGGTGGCAGATTAGAGTCAGTGAGTAAAAGGTAGTGGTGCTAAAAATTATACCACAAGATAAAGAGAAACTCCTTACATTTTGGGCTCTCTAACAGCAAAATAGTTTGCCTTAAATATAATCAAGTCCCTTGTCTCTGGAAACAGTTATACAAAAGCTAGATTACAATTTGTTAGAGATGCTATATCATAGATTCTTACACATTACTTAGTTGTATTAAGACACTGAACTATTCTTTGATTTAATAGTCTATGAATCTGTAAAGGTATTACCATACTACACAACCACTGTTCTTATGGAAATAAGGATCACAGGACATATGAAATAACACGATGGGGAAGAGTCTGGGCTCAGAATCCCCAGGTTAAAATTCTGTGGCTGGGTTGGGCATGGTGGCTCATGCCTGTAATTCCAACACTTTGGGAGGTCAAGGCAGGAGGATTGCTTAACATCAGGAGTTCGATACCAGTCTAGGCAGTATAGTAAGACCGTATCTCTACAAAAACAAAACAAATTAGTTGGGTATGGTGGCAAACGCCTGTAATCCAGTTTCTCAAGAGGATAGCCTGAACCCAGGAGCTTGAAGCTGCAGTGAGCTAGGATTGTACCACGACCCTCCAGCCTGGGTGACAGAGTGACCCTGACTCAAAAAGAAAAAAAAAACAAACGTGCAGCTGCCACTTTTTGGTGTGGTCTTGATTCTATACTTACCAACTTTATGCTATGGTTTCCTCAGCCACAAATCAAGGGTTATTGTGAATATAAAGCCTGTACAGTACTTAGGTCAATGCTTAAAATCTAATAAGTCCTCAATAAAATTACATATCAGAGCTCAGCTAAGTAGCTGGTATTTCTGCTCATTTAATCTTCGAAGGAACTCACAAAGGTCTGGACTATAACCTCGTTTTACAATAAGAAAACCTGAGACTTAGAGAAGTTGAGTAATTTGCAAGGGTCACAAAGTGTATGCCAAGGCAGAAATTTAACTTAACCTCAGGTATGTTTTATTCTATAAACTCCATTTTTTGTTTACTTATTTAGAAATTAGAGAAACACTTGTCATCTTCCTTGGATTTCACCCATTCGCAAACTTAAAAAAATGATAAAGGATGTATTTTAGGAAGAAAAGCAATTCTAATTGTTAGAGAAAAAAAAAAAAGGAATGAAGAACAGAGAAAAACGTTTATAGGTGAGTAGTTTTAAATGACCACTAAATAAGCCATTAAAAAAAAAGAATTAAGACAAAATATAAGCCAGGATATAGGCAAACGGAAGCATTCTAAGGAATTCAACTGAGAGACAGGTAATAACAGTAATTAACACTATTGCCTTTGAAAGCATGCATTTTGTACTGCCTAAATCAATAGTTTCCAGAATAACTTAGTTTTTAAAAATTAATTTTAAAAAATACTCTAAAAATGGCAAGAAATAGAAAAAGAAACATTAAAGGCATAAAATGGAATAGTAAATATAAACCCAAATATAACCGTAATTATTTAAATAGAAATGGAAAAAAGGCCAGGCATGGTGGCTCATGCCTA